ATAGAGAGCTAGAAACGTCGATTAGAGAGAAACATCGACCAGCTGCCTTTTGCACACCCCCTAATGGGGATGTGCCCTCAACCAGGTACATGCCCTTGACCGGAATCGAACCTGGGACCTTTCAGTCCTCAGACCAACGCTCTATCCACTGAGCCAAACTGGTTTTGGCTATTTATAAGTTTTTAAGCTTACCATAGTCAATAAATCTTTTATATGTAAGCTGTAGAATTTGCCCATAGCCTTACAAATGAATAAATCAATAAACTTCTCTGAGTGGTGATACCTATCTATCTTCTGATTGTTATTTAAGAAAGAATTTAAGAAAAAGAAAGAATGGGAGGAATGGAGAGGGCAGAGATAAAGAGAGAGAAAGAGAGAGAGAGAGAACAAAATTTTGGCCTTTGATGAATATGGATAAAGGATTTCTGGGTAGAGTTCATTTTACTACTTGTACAACTTTTCTGTGAGTTAAATTTATTTTTAAACAAGGTATTTGGTTATAAAACATAGATAAATGACTGCTTCTTGACTGTCACCTGTAATTAGTGGGTTAGCAATACGTGGGCTAAAACATGACCCATCTAAAGTTTAACTCTTGGAAATGGCTTCACTGGCTATACATTTTGGTTCTGCACTCTGGTTTAAAATCTGTCCCTATGAAATTATAAACAGGGATGTCATTATCCTATAATTCTACTAGTGGCTCTTACAGCACTTATAACTTTCAAGTTATAAGAAGCCCCAATTGTGGTTTGGTGAGCTTTAGTCATATACATATTTATTGGATGAATGAAAATATTTATATTCTAAAAAATATATTTTGAACACCTTGTCCATGTGGGGTTTCTGGCTGTAAAATACAAGGACAGTTTTTGTAACTCACCATTTGTTCTACCAGTTCTGTGTTGGTATGACCTGGTGGCACCTTGCCTCAGCTGCAATACCTTTCTCTCTTTCTGCCCTGGGACGTCTCTGCCATGACTCCAATTCTCAGGAAAAGTATGAGGAAATTTATAATCCCATAGGCAGCACATGTCCATGGAGAACTGGAGTCCAGGGATAATCTATTCTTTCACCCCTTAGTGTAGAGGTTCTCAACCTTTCCAATGTCATGACCCAAGGTTGAGAACATCTAGCCTAATGCTGTCGCTTAAGACCATTGGAAAACACAGATATTTATATTATGATTCATAATAGTTACAAAATTACAGTTATGAAATAGCAACAAAAATAACTTTATTGTTGGGGGTCACCACAACATGAGGAACTGTATTAGAGGGCTGTGGCATTAGAAATTTTGAGAATCACTGCCTTAGTGGGAAGATCTGAGGAACATTTCACAGGACTCTTCAAGGACTTTGAGGAGAATAGATACCTACTTATATATGTGGTTGACCAGCTCAATACAGCATCTTTGAATTGGCTTTCCCTCTTCCCCTATTTAATTCTTCCAGTCCTTCAGTCATTTTTCTGGGACCTGCATGCATGTCTTTACATCAGGCTTTGATTTTTGGCAGAACCTGGATCAAGATGGTGGAATCTCTCTAGTTATGGTCGAAAAATATAAGAATTGTTGTTACAATAACCACTTTATAATAGTTTATTTGGTGTCTAGAAAAAGCATTATGCAAAGATTTAGCAGGATCTTTCTTCTTGTTATTTGTCCTCTAGTAGGCCATTTAGCCTTTAGGTAAATGGTAAAGCATAGTGATGAGGAGTTAAGAAGAAGATACATTGATATGTGTGTGTAGGATTTTGTCATCTGGTTATAAGACTGTGGACTCTGGTATCTAATATAAAGTATTGGGAATAGCTATGATATAGTCCCTGAGTCCAATGGTGCTGTGAGATTAGATGAGCATTCCAGAAAAGGGTTGTAGGTGGGACTTGGGTGAACATCTGTTATTTGAACTGAGAAATAAAATAGAGACTTTTCTTATCCAAAATGGGAATTGAAATAAATGTAGGAGCAAAGCTCTTCTCAGAAGGTCAAGTAAGTCAACAAGAGGTACAAACATCCCACAGCATTAGGCTGGACCTCTTAATTGCATCAACCTAATATGAGCAACTAAAAATGGGAGTAGTTCCAACTCAGAGGGATGGTAGACTAAAGAGGCTGAATACCAATTGCGTGCACAGGCTAGTTGCACACTATAATTACTTGTTTTCATTGTATTGCTCAGGGTAATTCTGTGATTTTTGAGTCTTTGTGGTTAGATAACCCAGTGACTTGGGGCATGGGCAGTTGGTGTACTTTCTGCTACAGTGCAGATGTTGTAGACCTTATTAAATGCTGTCTCTTTACTGATACCCCCAGGGAACACCTAATGAATGATGCTTCCCTTAAGAAGAAGAGTAATTAACAATAGCATTATTACTTATATTAATTTATAGTTACTGGTTGCTATAATTAATGCTATTTATGAAAATTATAATTATAGTACTTTATAATTTACAAAGTATTTTCTCATCCAATTAATATCTGAATATTTTAATGTCCTTCTATCTTAGGTATGTCAGGTGATACTCTACTTGTTTTATAGATGAAGAAACTATGGCTCAGGAAAGAATTTAAGAAGGCTGCAATCCACTGCCCTTACTGTATATTGTGCTATCTATAAGTATATGAAAATACACTTATCAATTTTGTACTTATCATGTTTTTTATCTACATGTAAGAGAACAGGTTCACACATTTCTCAGTTGCCTTCCTTAACAATATCCTCTCTCCCCCACCCCCCCCCCGCCCACACTTTTTTTTTCATACCAGGACTCAGTATCAGAATATTCACAAGACTGTGTAAAAGGTTTTCTTCTTAATACCACAGTATTTTATAGTTAATTATACTCAGTGGGAAAACTATGAGATTGCTTCTGATAGAGGGATTAGCACTTTCAAAATGACCCTCTGGTCTTATAGTGTTAGATCAAACCCAGAATGTAGGCTCTGAGAAAACTTAGTCGACCTGGCATTACATTTATTTATTTACTTTTTTTGTTTTTTTGTTTTTTTGACTGTGGAAGAGAGCTGAGGAAAATATCCAATTTTTCTTAAGGGCAACCTTTATATCTGAGCCATATAGTGTGAAATACACAGACATACACACAGATATGCACACACATGTACACTGAGCCTTTTGGTTCTTTTTCTATTAATATAATATAAACTCTCTATATTAGAGCATCTACTGCTGTTATTAGACCTTTAGCTGTTTTTACCCAAAAAAATATTGATATGAAAAGGATTACTGACTGGACCTATGCCAGCATCTGTCATTACCTATTTATTTATTTACTTAAACATCTTTATTCAACATTTCCATGGATTAGGGCCTCAGCAAGATTCTGAGGAATCATCAAGGAGCAAAACAGGTGAAGTCCTTTCTGCCATGAATCTTACATTCTCCTGGGGGAAACTGATGATAGACAAATGTACACAAAAGGTGATATTAGATCATGATAGATACTATGAGAAAAATAAAACAGGTTAGGGATAAGATTGCCATAGAGAAGTCATGCAAATACATCCAGAAGGAGTAATGTAGAGAAGCTTGTTTTCAATAATGTGGTAAAACATAGCTATAATTAAAGAATGCTCTGAGAGAGGGATGCCTTCTGCCCCAGGCAAAATCTGAGGCAGCAATCATCAGATTTTGTTTCAAGGGGTCTGGGCTATGGCCACAAGTTTATAGACTTTGGTGTTGTCAGTATGCCTGGGTAAGATTAAATCCACATGGATTAACTCATGCTGCCTTAATTCACAAGAGACTAATGTATCAGATCCCCTAAAGGCTGTCTGATACAGAAACTTAAATAAGTTTTAGCATTCAAAAAGATAGTTTGGTGAGCAAGCTACCAGGAGGAAAGAAACTAGTAGTGTTACTAAACAATTCTATTATTTTATCATTTCCTAATGCAGCATATTTATTAGAAAGATAAACTTACTTAGAGGACTATAATGTTTAATGCTAGCTTGTCAGGGTTTCCTATATTTTGTTTTGCTGAGGATATTCTGATTTATTGGTTAATGCTTTTTCTATACATTTTCAGGCACTAACCTGATAATTAACTGCCTTCAACAGGTTTGACAGGGTTGATTAGTTTATAGTAACTGTCCATTATTTTATTTTTATTAGGTCTTGCTGCTGATGCATTTTAGTTTTTTGATGGAGTCTTAAGTATACTCCCTGAAAATCCATGCTCATAATTACCTTGAAAATTTGCCACCTCACTTCATATTTTCAAATTCTAAGGCCATCTCACTTTCTATATTTTCCCCTTAAGCTCTAAGCAAACCACCCTGCAGAACCTTCTCACTATGCCTGGGGCTGCCCTTGTGGTAATTTTATTGTCTTCTACTCACCTCTTATTGATTCTGAGTGCAGGTAGAAGTTGGTACTCCTGTTAACACAGGGCATTGACATATGAAATCTACAAAGCTCCAGCTTCAGATCAGTGGCCACTGCCACATGCTTTCTCTGCAGCCCCTAGGCCAGAATCCTGAGCAGTCTCATGCTAGTTCATTTTTTACTCATTGATTGGGACTTGCAATCTCTGTCTGTCACACAGACATGGGTCCCCTGGTGATTCCTCTTCCTGGACTGTAAGTCTCCCACCCTTGCCCTTCCTGTTCCAACTATTGTAAAATGTCATTATTCTAAGCAGTGGTTTCTAAACACAAAGAACTTGCAGTATCTTCCCAGTTGGATATGCTTCTTGAGTACAGGATAGAGACATTTACTTATTTTTACTTTTATACTCATCAAAACGTAAGTGTGACCTTAGAAATATAACCTTACACCTACCAGTTTTCTTATTTGTCAAAAAAGGGCCATTCTATTTCACGCTATCATTGAAATGTTATTAGGGTTGGGGAAGAAGGGGTAGATTCAGAACATTTTGTACAAAGACACAGTATAACTAGGGAATTTTGAATTCACTCAGATATCAATGGAAACTGGAAATTTCCTTTTTGAACATATCTGTGTTGCCTCTGGCAGGGAAATCCTGGAGGCAAGACGATTGAGGAGAGACGTTCCAGCCTGGATGCTGAGATCGACTCATTGACTAGTATCTTGGCTGACCTTGAGTGCAGCTCCCCCTACAAACCTCGGCCCCCACAGGTAAGAGTTGTCCAGGAATGTCTCCACATGGCGAGCTGCAAATAATCTATGTTGATCTGAAAGTATAAACTTCTGTCCATGCCCCCCCCTTTTTTTAAATCTTCTTATAGTCAATGGTCTAAGTTGTCTTTTTATTTTATATCAATGTATATTTTCTAACAGACAGATCTTTAAAAATTAATTGTATTAGTATTGTCTTTAAAATACAACAACATTATACAAAAAAAAAAACAAAAAAAAAAACACTTCTGAAAATTAAAACTCATCTTACTCCATTCTCCTCATTTTCTGACTTTGAGTATGTGGATATTTTGTACATGTTGTTACATTCTTCACAAATAGAATTTAACACGGCTATGTTAAAGTGAGGGCTACGTCTTCTGTAAAGAAATTCCTTATGATAGACCTGTAAGGTAGCTTCCATTTTTTTGTTGTTGTATGTAATGCTATGAAGGACATGTTCATGAGTATTTTCTTTGGAGCTATTTCCCTGTCTTAGATTCCTAATAGTTGTATTTCTACATCGAGAAGTCTGACCATTTCCTTTATTTTTTCTTTCCAAAAGTTGTTAATAGCTTGTGTTGGCAGTTGGAATATACCAGTTTCTCCTCAAGTTCACCAGAATTTGGTGATAGCTATTAATCTCTATTTTTAAAAGGTAGATGGTGCTCTTTGTTATCAATTTACTTATTTGTTAGTTTTTTTTTGTGTGTGTGTTTTTGAAACTGGCTACATTGTCGTTTACTATCTGCATTCAGAAACTGAACTTTCATTGCTAGTGGTCATTCACTGTCAGCTCAGGTCTTGAGATGGTAAAGGAAAATCTATGCCAGGCCTCCATGTCGTCAGAAGACAGCCAGAGGAACTCTAGATGCACACACTGGACTGCCACAATTGTCACTGCAATGTTTGACTTGTGAGATGCTTTCTTAACTAAGTGACAGTGTATATGGCATGCTGAGTTTACTCCAGTTCTTGAACAGCAGCTCCTGTGTTCAAAATGGTTCCTTTCATGAATTAAAAGCCATGCCTGTTTCTCAGCTGTCAGTCATTTCAACACTGAACTGCATGTAATGTGGCAGTTCTTTTCTCTTTAGATATATCCCCATTACCTTTCCTAGACATATAATGGGACTGTCAGCAAAACATATTAGAGAAGAGCTTAGCTTTTCCTTTGCTCTCATTACTCTTGGCCCCACCACACCTGTTGATAGTAGAAATACATTTTATTTCTATAAACATACTGAGCTGCAGGTATGTAGCATGCACTGTGGTCTTTTGGGGAAACTGTTAAGAGAAGAAAAGTGGATGGTTGAATAAGAAATAAATAGGTCCCCATAATCATTGCCGAGGGGTCCATAATAGTAAACTATAGCAGGTATTGTTGAAACATAAAGAAGAGTGTGTTAAATACTTTTGAAGGTGGCAGAATCTGAGAGGATCTATGACAAGGCTTGTATATTTGGATTGATGGGTGGATGGATTAGCAATAATGGAGAACAGCCTGAGCCATTCAGGAGAAAGGTCCAGGTTTCAGTGGCTGAGGATAAGGCCACTAAAGGCTTGAAGTGCCTACAGGATTGTAAGGTTTCCTACTGACAGCCTGGGGACAAATATGAATGGCAGATTAAGATTTTGCCTTGTCTTTTGTAGATAACTAGAGGCCTGGTGCATGAATTTGTGCACTGGTGGGTGCAGCCTGCCCTGCACCCTCTTGCAATCTGGGACCCCTTGGTGGGTGTCAGATTGCCAATTTTGAGCTGCTCCTGCTGATCCTGCCCCCCCTGCACCTGCTGCCTCCGCTGCTGCCACTGCTGCTTGTAGTGCTGCCACAGAGACTGCGGAGGCTCATACCATAGCAGCTTTACTCACCAGCCATGAGCCCAGTGTCTGGTGCCCCTAGGTCAGCTGAGTGGTGCTCCCTAAGTGGTAGTGAGTGCACAGACCACCAGGGGGAAGCTCCTTTGTTGAGTATCTACCCCCCTGGTGGTCAGTGCTTGTCATAGCGATTGATGGATTGGTCGACTGCTTGTAAATTCTCCAGCAAGCCTTTGATGGAACAGTGTTTGTTGTTAAGCATTTTCTCTATTCTACTTAGACACATGCCACAAACTTAGTTTCTCAGAACCGCAAGACTACTGAGTTTTCCACTGTAGTCATCTGTCCATGATCCTCTCCTTTTTAAAATAGGGTTTTTGCTTTATCTTTTTTTCCACCCTCAATTCTTAATATATATTCGGGAGCTTCTACTTAATATAGCCTTAATTCCTTAAGTCTGTGTCAACATATTTCTCCCATAAACCACTGTATTTTAATGGGTTATTCACAAGCTCCATTTTTGTTTGCACAATCTTACTGTGCACTCAAACTAATAATCACTGATATTTGGACAGTGCTGCACTGATTATAAAGCATATATTCTCACTTGAGTAAGACTGAAACTCTGATATTAATGATATGCTGATCTGGAGTGGAAGAACCTAACATAAGTGACCTGTCGTGGGACATAGGACTACAATATGAGCACAGTTGGACCATAAATTTACATCTGTGTTTGGTTTTAAGTTCTAGAACCAGATCTGGGATGTCAGTATTTTAAAAACATTTTTATCAATGACAAAAATCTGTGAAACAATCATATGAGTAACAATGTCCTTAGAGGCTTTCTTATAAAAAAAAATTCAGAAGGTTTAGAAAAATTAATAATGATAATCCTTAAATAGAATTAAGTGGAGTACTTAAATCTACTTTTGATGAGTCTATTCAATTCAAGACTGATCCTTTCTAAGATTTTTTTTATTATTCTACTTTAGGAAAGCAAGAGTTAATTGGGAGTTACAACTCATTCTCCTGATTTATCTTCACTCTGGTGGAACTGAATTAGATATGTTAGTATTTATTAGTTAACATAATTATATGCTGTGAGAATGATAATCACACACCTAAGATATTAAAAATATGTGCTAAAAGAAGATGATGTCTGTTGTGTTGTAATTAAAAGGTACTTGAAAAGTCCTAGAACTGTAGAATGTTAATGCCCAACTTTGATGTTTTTATTTTTGATCCAAAGCAAATTATAAAACCCATTGAATCACCTGGATACTAAAAGTAGACTACCAGATCTATAATTTCTCATTATTCAAGCATGTGTTGTGTGTGTTCCTGAACCCACTTCTGAACTTCCTTATTAAGTTTGACTACTTGATCTAGTGAAAAATTTTACTGTATGTGGAATGTTTATACCAGTAGAAGTCCAAAGGAACTCTATTCAAATAACAACTTTGAGAAATGTCTGAACACTTTGCCAAAACAATTTATGGCTAGGATTCAGGATCTGAAGAAGGGGCCTTGCACAAATGAAAAGCTATATAAGAGATATACACTTAGAAGGCATGGGTGGCCAGATGGAAACCCCTCTCTTGGAGAGGCACTGACTCCTGGCCACTCTGCTTTTTATTCACTTTTAGATACACATCTTACCCTCAGTAAAGCATGGCAAACAGGTAGCAGACAGACCATCTCAGAGGCCAGTAAAGATCAGTAAGGTCTAGTAAACATTTACTTTGAGGCTATCAGGTCAATAAATTGCTTTGAGTCACCATTCTCTCAACACAGCCCTGCTAAGTCCAAGGACCATTAGCCTTCCGCGTTCCTTGGTGCACTCTGATGTCAGTATTGGGAAAGCAGTAGCTTCCCACAATACTTGAAGATAGATTTTATGGAGCCTTTTTGTCCTTTTTCCAAAGGAGCATTTTCTACTCTGAGATTTCCCAGCTTTCATTCTGTTCACTTATTTATTCATATCTTTACTTGAGAAATGTGGCTTACTTTCACAGTTTTATTCATTCACTTAACATTTATTGAGATCCTTTACGAATCAGGTTTTAGAAGCAAAAAAGTTAGTATCAACATGTCCCTGCTCTAGAGTAATTCTTACTTTACAGAGGAAACAAACACATCAACAATTTAAAAGCCAGCAAAGAAGGGCTTCAGTGTGCTACTTTAAGCTGTCATGTGACTCACTGGATGTTGAAAGTGTTGGAAAATAAAAAAAAAGTAATATTAACGTTATACTGTGTATTGTTCTAGGGAAGTGTCTGGGAAGATTGCAGAGAGCCTTTGAGTTATGGGTACAAAAGCATATGTCATGGGAAAAGCATGGGTTTCAAGGTGCGAGAATAACAGTAATGAGGAAATCAAGGCATGCTGAAAGTGAATGTCTTGTTTGAAGGACATGTTAGTTTAAATGCTGTATCGGGTATGTGTAATGCAAAGGGGATAGGCAGATTTAATCATGAGCATTTAGTGCCTAGGTAGCATTCTTAATGCCCAAGGACTCCCATAGCAAGAAGAGGAATTTAGGGGTGATAGTATTTCTGGCTACAATGGGTTTGTGGGGTAAAGACTTTAGCAAATTTTAAATGAAATGTAAAAATATACACCTGCATCACTAAATAGAGCTATGCAATTAAACTAGCTTAGTGTTTGAAACTAAAAAGATCTACTCGTTTTAAAATGTGTATATTAGGAAGTAGTTTTAGAAGAACAGATGTAAGACGTTTGGAGGTGTTTGTGGCATGAGTTGCAGACTGAATATAATCATAGAGTGTGGGAGCTTAGTTGGACCTTTGAGGTCATGCAGCCAAATGTTTAAGAAAGAAAATATTTTGCTCAGAGAAAGAATTCATTAATCAGCAAGGAGCAAGAGTACTGCTTATTTCGCTTTTTGCTTGAAACAAGACTTAATACTTCTCTGTGGATGATAATAGCAACCAAAGGTTAAAAGGGGTCTTTTTAGTATTTTAATTAGTTTATTACAAAATGTATCTCTTTTGTGATACAGTCTCTATGCCTTAGAATCATAATGAAAGAGTAAAGTAAAATAAAAAATAGATAAATCAAAAACATAACTCAAAGGTATACAGAAAATTTATGACAGTATAGTGTCTTTGAGTCAGTGTATATCTCAACCCCATCCAATGGCATCATCTGTTAATAGA